GAACGGTGTATTTGTATTCATTAACTAATAACTTGTACGTTGCATGTAAGGTGTATTTGTATTTATTAACTAATAACTTGTACGTTGCATGTAAGGTGTATTTGTATTTATTAACTAATAACTTGTACGTTGAATGTCCGGTGTATTTGTATTTATTAACTAATAACTTGTACGTTGCATGTAAGGTGTATTTGTATTTATTTATTTATTAACTAATAACTTGTACGTTGCATGTAAGGTGTATTTGTATTTATTAACTAATAACTTGTACGTTGCATGTAAGGTGTATTTGTATTTATTAACTAATAACCTGTACGTTACGTGTACGGTGTATTTGTATTTATTAACTAATAACTTGTACGTTGCATGTAAGGTGTGTTTGTATTTATTAACTAATAACTTGTACGTTGCGTGTACGGTGTATTTGTATTTATTAACTAATAGCTTGTACGTTGCGTGTAAGGTGTATTTGTATTTATTAACTAATAACTTGTACGTTGCGTGTACGGTGTATTTGTATTTATTAACTAATAACTTGTACGTTGCATGTAAGGTGTATTTGTATTTATTAACTAATAACTTGTACGTTGCGTGTACGGTGTATTTGTATTTATTAACTAATAACTTGTACGTTGCGTGTACGGTGTATTTGTATTTATTAACTAATAACTTGTACGTTGCGTGTAAGGTGTATTTGTATTTATTAACTAATAACTTGTACGTTGCATGTAAGGTGTATTTGTATTTATTAACTAATAACTTGTACGTTGCATGTAAGGTGTATTTGTATTTATTGACTAATAACTTGTACGGTGTATTTGTATAGAACGTCGGCAAAAACAAAGTGGCGAAACGAACAATTACGCATGCCAGTGCATGACGTGTACGTGAACAGTTCGTTGTTTGGATTTTTTTGTGTTTATTTGGCGAGTTAGTAGTGGGCTAACCTTAAATCTGACTAATCGACTTGTGGGACGAATCGACTTTGGGACGAATCAACTTGTGGGACGAATCGACTTTGGGACGAATCAACTTGTGGGACGAATCAACTTGTGGGACGAATTAACTTGTGGGACGAATCAACTTGGGACGAATCGACTTGTGGGACGAATCGACTTGGGACGAATCGACCGTCCCCCGGGTAAAAATAGGGCTCTATGAAAAAGTTGCGAGGCCCCCACGCCCTCTGCAGTTCAATTTTCTATCCCACAATCCCTTGCGAAATCCAATATGTTGAATATACACAGAATGGATAACAAACATTATTACAATACTTGATTTGACAGCTGTTGAACGTGTTCAAGTGAAAAATGGAAAACCTGTTTTAAATGATTTCGCGATTATAACAAAATAAGGCTGTCAGCAAATTCCGGTTCATGGTAATAATAGATCTACCAGAGACAAATAAATTCTATTTAAAAAAAAAATCAATACGGTTTTCCTTGGAAAGACTGAAAAAAGATGCTTAATTAGATTTTTGAACCCTTTGAAGTCGCGTTATATTTATTTATTTATTTATTTCAGTTTTTCGAAGAAAGAGAATCTGATCCCAAACAGTAAGAACAAATTTAACTTCACAAAGCCATGGGAATGAGAAACGATAGGGTGCCGTATAAAAACAACTTATTTTACATATTTAAAATAGATAACGTATTCCAAACTAATGTCATGTGAACAAATATTGCATAAAAATGTATACTACTAGTTGTTAAATGTGCAATATAAACAATATTATGATAAATTTTGGAGTTATCGTTCCTGTACCAGTCGAACACTTTCTTAACCCTGTATTTAGTAGAGTCGTCAAAATCCACCAAATTGCGCGACACTGCAATTTTATTTTCGGCTAAATGGATGAAATTTATTCATTATTTTACTCTATACAAAAGCGCTGCTCTGATCGTCGCACGTACAAACCATAGTTACAAATTAAAGAAGCGCGTGCTAGTCGCTGAATATTTAAAATCGTTTTCGTTAAAATATACTAGAAATAAACTATTCCCTTGGCCCGGCTGTCCAACTGGTTCGAAATATACGAATTTGCATTACCAGCGCATATAATGAGTGTACCGTTGGGGGCGTTCTCGTGAAACACCAAAGTGATTCGGCAAATTCATGAAGACTGACGAATTCGTTGACTCTCGTGTTGCATTTTTCTGTTCAATATTCCGTGATATACCGAGTCAGATGATTTAGTATTACTCAATTCTGTACTAGGCACAGCCACTTGAGGGCTGAAAATCTCCTTCCAAAAAATTCACTTAAATAAAAATTGTTAATGATATAGTCCCTGCTGGGATAAGGGGGATTTTATTCATTCCAAAAATAAAGTTACGGACTAAAAACATAGTTAGCAATCAAGATTAAATAAATGACTGGTCTAGTATCAACAGAAATTAGATGTATTGAATTACTCTTCCAAAATCGAAATATATGGTCATAAATTAAACAAGATATGCTATTCATGCATTTTTTTGTATCTAAACACAGGGAGCCCAGGAACTATGATCAACTGTACACACTCCCTATGAGCGGGGGGGGGGGGTGTTATCGGCTGGTATCTAGTGCAAGAAATAGACAAGGGATGAAGGCTCCAGCCAGCTCACATTTTTTAAACTGGAAAAAAACAGACGAACAGAATGAAAAATAAAATCTTTAAAAAATACCAGGTTGAAGAATATTAGTCGCTCTTTCAAATTCCGCCAAAGGGACAAGAATCCTAACATGCATAATTTGAAAAAAATGTCAATGATACTTTTGGAAAAATATGGCTGCCAGTTGGTCATTTTGGATATGTATCTCAACATACATGTTTGTATCAAATTTGAACAAAAAGTGACAAATCCTGTCCAAGAAACTACATTTTCCAAAAAACAAGATTGATGCCAGTCAGCCAATTTTTTTAACTGATTATGGAACAAACTGACATGAACATATATATTCATATATTTATGATGTATGTGCCAAATATCAATGAAAATGGTCCAAAAGTATTGAAGATATAGTCGTATGGTCAAACAGTAAGATGGCTACCAGTCAGCCCTCTTTATTAGATTGTGAAACAAACTAACATGGACATGTATTCCAATATGTATGATGTATGTGCCAAATATGAATGAAAATGGTGGTTAAGCCTTGGGGATATAGTAGTATGGCCAAAAAGCAAGATCCAATTGTAAAACAAATTGTCATGGACATGTAATCCAAAATGTACAATGTGTGTACAAAATTTGAACAAAGAAAAAAACGACAAAGCATGCATAAGATACCACATTTTCAAAAAAATGGCTGTCAGTTGGCAATCTTTGATCCGATCATGAAACGAATCGTCATAGACATGTTTTCTAAGATATATAATGTATGTACCAAATTTAAACAAAAACTGACAAAGTATGCATAAGATACCACATTTTCAAAAAACAAAATGGCTGCCAGTCAGCCATCTTGGATTGAATCAGTAAACCACTGCATGTGCATATGCAAAAAATGAACAGATTTGATCCACAGGGTTCTGAAATATGACTCTGGATGGACGAACAAACGAACTGACAGATAGAGACCGAATTATAAGTCCCTTTTCTGAACTTCGTTCAAACAGGGACTAATAAATAGTACTGGTTGATTTATTTAGATTTTCAGACCACAAAGGACTGTAGTACTAGGATATTCTACTGACAAGTGTTAAGCGAGAAAAACAAGACATGATGTGTTAAGTTTGAACATGGCCATGTCAAAGATACGACTTGAAAACTCCACCTATACACAATGAGATCTTTTTCTGTAAAACAGAAATGCTTTTGTTTGATGAAAGAACTAGCACTAAAATCGTCACATGTATACCATGTATGTGAAATGGATTATATTTGAAAAGGGACTACATATATACTACATGCGGAAGGGGAATTGTGGCAGACCTCATCTTTCTCATTTACTAAATTCAGAGTGTACATATACAAAAAAACAAAAACAGATTTCATTATAGATATTTATAATAATGAAAAGCATCAGAGGTAGATTTCATAAATTTAAATTCACACAATTCAAAATTATAATTCTGCAAATATAATCTTCTGTGATTTTCAAAGTTTTGGAAATACAGGTACTCAATAGATATTGCCTTATTTCTGATAGATTTCATAAATGTATGAATTCAAATCCTATAAAACTTCATTGCCATCATCTGAGTTTTCTATGAGAGTAATGTCAAATAAAGCGATCTAAAAAATTCATAATTCATAAATATGATAACACATGAGATAAGAATATTGATTTCAGGCAATTTCTCTTATGATATACTTGCTGGATTTTAAAATCACTATAGTGCCCTCTAACTTTTTTATTATTACTAGAATGCCCTCTAGCTTAATAGAGAATAATGCACTTGTGGTTTAGCTTTCTGTAGAAATCCTTCAGTGGCATGTCCAATACGCAAAACAACGTCTTCCTGCCACCAATTACCGAGAAGTTGCAGAGCAATTGGCAGACCATTGGTGTCATAAGCAATGGGGAGAACAAGGCTTGGAAGACCCAGCATGTTTCCAATAAACATATATCTAGAATAAAAAAAAAACAGGTGAAATATTATTGCAAATAAATATTAAACTCTAAGTGAAAATTATGTCATTTTATTTTTTTTTTTTTCATGAGAGGTTAAAGATAAATAAATCTGAATAGTTGCAAAACTAAAATCACAAGGTTTTCCCGGAGTTTCAGAGATCTTGTCTACAAAGAAACAACAATGGTTTGAAGCAGGATCATGATGGTAATCGCCTCACATAGTTTGTGTTAATAGTAAAGTATCTGATGTGAATGTTATATCCAATTATGTTTAACAACTTGTATGAAGTCACTAGTAGTCACTAACAAGGTCAAGAAAATGTAATTATTCACAGATTACAAGTTCTGTAAATCATCATAGTGTGCTGATTTGGATAAATATTCAGAAAATGATTTTAGTGATTATTATTTCACATCTGTCTCTGAATAAGACAGAAAATTGTTTGAAAGACTCAGGGAAACCTGTAAGTCATCCATTACAAACAGTTTCCCCTATTCTATACCTGATGTAGTTGTTTAAAGTGCTTTCTTCAACTGCTCCATACTTTAAGTCACCGGGGTGGATTTTAACAGCCGTTTTACCAGTAGCTACAAAAAAAACAAAAAAACAAAAAAACATCATCAACAAAATTCACCAAATTTGTTGTACGTCTCTAAAACCTGAATGTTCCTCTAACACATGTCACTGGACCAAAAAAAACGTTTCAGCTTGAAGTTTCACAAAACATAAATGACATCAACGTAATTGCAATATTTTTTTGTTTGTACAACGTAAATTGAAAAAATAAATTCTGTAATTCTGTAATCACAGGCTAGACGTACAACGTAATCAATCAAATATTTTTCTCGTACACTGTAAAAATGTTTAATTTTTCTCGGTACGTACAAGAATTTACATCCTAATAAAAAAAGTCTTAAAGAAAAATCCAGGGAAATTTTCGAAACTGTAAAACGACTAGATGACACAATTCACTGCAAAATTCAATTTTCACTGTAAACTATAAAAACATCTGTTTTTCCTTGTAAATTGTAAAGAGCCCTTTTTATTTTCCATAACATAGTTGAACTCTGG